TATTCTAGTGTTTGGTATTGTAGTGATTATTATATAGTATGTTTCTTTATGCAAAACAATAGGTTGGACGTACTTCTCATTAGAAAACAAATATAACTTATAATTTCACGTTTGTCAGGAGGACAGTGAATTTCTCAACTATTCATAAGAATCATAAGAATATTTAAACTTGTTATTCTACATTTCTTGTATAAAAAATATATGTTGTTTTAAAAAATTGCGATTGATATTATACTACCATAAATTAAAAAGATAGGATGTTTTTTTTTCATTCGAAATTTAGCTGGTGACATATGGCATTTTACTTGAAACTAGAAGTGTTGATATTTAAGAAATGGATTAGGAAAATCTGATTTGAAACAATTATCAGTAAATGTGCGAATATTATAGAAAAAATGTCATTTTTAATGTTGATATATAAGTTTCAGAGTAAAAGACGGATTGCTTGATAAGTAAATTAAGATTGTTTATCACCATCAAGCATTTAGAGCAGGTAATTATATGGACTTTGAGATTGCTATACACACGCTTTACGCATTTATCATGAGAATTTTTATGTATAGGATTATTAGGATTTTTTTTAGTGAGACTATCATGAGAACTACGACATTCATCTCTTTCATTGCAGTACACTCCAACCCTTTTATTTTGACCTTAGCTACATAAAATATCTTTAATCTCGGTTACATTACACAAAGCTTATTTACACCTATCAACACACAACTACTCAAAATCTCGGAAATAAGCAACACTGAATCCTACACATGTATACATTCATTCACTCTATTCACCGTGTACTCAGTGAGTACTACTCACTTTCATCTAACATCTACACGACCATACAAAATTTTTACCCCTTACTTCACCAGCAACCGCCATTTCAATCGTTTCGACACCACGAGTCTCTTCGTAGATCAATCCAGAAATACGCTTCACACCTCCACGACGAGCCAGACGGCGGATGGCAGGCTTGGTAATACCCTGGATGTTATCGCGAAGAACTTTGCGATGGCGCTTGGCTCCTCCTTTTCCCAATCCCTTTCCTCCCTTACCACGGCCAGTCATTCTGGTAGTGTAAACGTGATAGAATTTAGAACGCAATAACCTCGAAAGGTCGAATGATGCGATACGAAACTTGAGCCCTCTTTTTATAGGCTTGCTTGAAACTCTCCCCTCTCTACAACTGTTCAGTCGGCAACACTCCCCTCACATCTACCTTACTTCCTAGCCCATTCTCGAGCGTATAAAAAGAGGGCGCATTACCATCGACGAACATTCTAGCTTCAGCTTCGGTCGCCTTTTACTGTTGTTACTCTAATATTATGGCCCGCACCAAGCAAACAGCGCGCAAGTCCACGGGAGGCAAAGCCCCGCGCAAGCAGTTGGCTACCAAAGCCGCTCGTAAGAGTGCGCCTGCTACTGGTGGTGTGAAGAAGCCCCATCGTTACAGGCCTGGAACCGTCGCTCTTCGTGAAATTCGTCGCTACCAGAAGAGCACCGAGCTTCTCATTCGCAAATTGCCATTCCAGCGCCTCGTACGTGAAATCGCACAGGACTTCAAAACTGACCTGCGCTTCCAGAGCTCGGCCGTCATGGCTCTTCAGGAAGCCAGTGAAGCTTACCTCGTTGGACTTTTCGAGGATACTAACCTCTGCGCCATCCATGCCAAGCGCGTCACGATTATGCCAAAAGACATCCAATTGGCCAGACGTATTCGTGGAGAACGGGCTTAAGATATCACTCAGACAATTACAAAACCGGCTCTTTTAAGAGCCAAAAATATAAACGTACATTCTTACTTTTCTTAACATTGAATTTTGTTGATCTATGTAAACAGAAAAATTTTTTAATATTTACATATCTTTTTTTTACATACGTAATTTTTTTTTGTCTCCTTCGAATTTTAGATCTATCAACATTTTCATCGATAAATAAAATCGATAAATTATTTTTCAATATTAGCACTTATTTTAAGGAGACATTTAATATCTACGACATTTTAAAAAAATTTTCAAAAAAATTTGTTTTTTTACTGTCAAAAGTAGTTTTCAGTAGTTTTTTTATTAATTAATTATAGATGTGGCGTAAGTTACACACAGTTAGGTACAGTTTGAAAATAATAGGGCTGTGTAGTGTTTGCACCATAGCTCCAATGTTAAAAGACTGATTTTTTGACTAGAATATTTTAATAACGAAGTGGTAAATCGGTCTCAAATTTTTTATACATATTTATAATCTTCAAATACTACAGTTCTAATGCTATCGACACGTAATTTTCAGAACACAGTTAAGATAATGTTTGTTGAAGCCGAGGTTGAAGCACTCCTAACTAGAAGTTATTTTTTTTATTCCAAGTTACTTATATATTGAGGTGTCATTTTTCAACTACATACTGAATTTTCATTTGGGGTGACGGAATTTTATTTTTACGAAAATTGTAGTAGGAGCTGTACAGATATCTCTTTAAAGTAAGTACAGCAAGGCCCAAAAAATTGTAATTTTTGCTTGCAAAACCATCATCAAGTTTTTGTCTATTTTAATGTTTCAAGAATGGCGGCTTTCGTAAAATTGACCATTCATCTCGAAGATAAACGTAGAATAAAAGTACTTCAAATGTAAGAGCTACATAATGTTCTAACATTCTACAATCAAGATCGGCTTATTTGTGAGACATTCTGTTTTAAATTATTTGATAATTGTAATTTCAATAAAAACATGCTACTTTATTTAAATGATAAAATACACATTTAGGTTACTATCTACAAGTTCAACCGTCCCTTTGCAACGTAAGAGCACGTTAACAGATATCCATGGTAATGAATGTCACTACTTTCTCAAATCTAACACGTTTTTTATTTTGTATCTTTCTCTGAGAGTGTAAATTTGAAAATGGAGTGTCAGCCTGCAACGCTACTTTATTTACCTTTTTCAATTAATATAAAGCAATAGCCTTGCACGATTTAATTTCTCTTGTAACTGTATCAAAAAATTACTTTTTTCTTGGACAAATTTTCAAAGCCAAATCTCAATTAACGGTGTTTAAATTGACTAGGCCTGAAAAAATTCGGTTTTTATTATGTAACCCGCATACATATTGAATGACACTACCACGAAGTGCATACAGCTGCTCTGACTGTAGGCACAAAAGTGAGTACTAAGGTGAATCGTGTAAGCAGCAGGCAGACAAACGATTATTTCCAACTGCTTCTATTCCATAGAGAAATAAAACATACCGCTAAAGTTTTTTCTAATGTAGCAATTTATTTTACTGGTAGTTATGCGCTGGAGGTTTTTTTCTTAGTAAAAAAATTTACGAAGAAAACATGTTCTCTTTGACAAGAATAGTTTTTATTTAAGTAAGATGCCAGTAGCAAACGTAGCACAATTTGGTGGCCTTGAAAAAGGCCGGTTGTTTTGTAGTCAATAATGCAGATAAGTTAACCGCCGAAACCATAGAGAGTACGTCCTTGTCTCTTCAATGCGTAGACAACGTCCATGGCAGTAACGGTCTTCCTTTTAGCGTGTTCAGTATAGGTGACGGCGTCACGGATGACGTTCTCAAGAAATACCTTGAGGACACCACGAGTCTCTTCGTAGATCAATCCAGAAATACGCTTCACACCTCCACGACGAGCCAGACGGCGGATGGCAGGCTTGGTAATACCCTGGATGTTATCGCGAAGAACTTTGCGATGGCGCTTGGCTCCTCCTTTTCCCAATCCCTTTCCTCCCTTACCACGGCCAGTCATTCTGGTAGTGTAAACGTGATAGAATTTAGAACGCAATAACCTCGAAAGGTCGAATGATGCGATACGAAACTTGAGCCCTCTTTTTATAGGCTTGCTTGAAACTCTCCCCTCTCTACAACTGTTCAGTCGGCAACACTCCCCTCACATCTACCTTACTTCCTAGCCCATTCTCGAGCGTATAAAAAGAGGGCGCATTACCATCGACGAACATTCTAGCTTCAGCTTCGGTCGCCTTTTACTGTTGTTACTCTAATATTATGGCCCGCACCAAGCAAACAGCGCGCAAGTCCACGGGAGGCAAAGCCCCGCGCAAGCAGTTGGCTACCAAAGCCGCTCGTAAGAGTGCGCCTGCTACTGGTGGTGTGAAGAAGCCCCATCGTTACAGGCCTGGAACCGTCGCTCTTCGTGAAATTCGTCGCTACCAGAAGAGCACCGAGCTTCTCATTCGCAAATTGCCATTCCAGCGCCTCGTACGTGAAATCGCACAGGACTTCAAAACTGACCTGCGCTTCCAGAGCTCGGCCGTCATGGCTCTTCAGGAAGCCAGTGAAGCTTACCTCGTTGGACTTTTCGAGGATACTAACCTCTGCGCCATCCATGCCAAGCGCGTCACGATTATGCCAAAAGACATCCAATTGGCCAGACGTATTCGTGGAGAACGGGCTTAAGATATCACTCAGACAATTACAAAACCGGCTCTTTTAAGAGCCAAAAATATAAACGTACATTCTTACTTTTCTTAACATTGAATTTTGTTGATCTATGTAAACAGAAAAATTTTTTAATATTTACATATCTTTTTTTTACATACGTAATTTTTTTTTGTCTCCTTCGAATTTTAGATCTATCAACATTTTCATCGATAAATAAAATCGATAAATTATTTTTCAATATTAGCACTTATTTTAAGGAGACATTTAATATCTAACAATAAGAGTCGGCCTCCGAAATTCTCTGTTATTTTCCTTTCCTCTCTTCTTATGCCCTTTTGTTTTCTAGGGGAGTGGTCCTAACGTAGCTGTCCCATGCGGGGAGGTTAATTTCTAGTCGGTAGGCACACCGGGTGAATCCAACACTACCACCGGAATAGCCGGGGTGTCTGTGAAGATTTTCTCCTCCTCCATCTAAAAATACCATTACCCCTCGATACAAAATGGCCATTTGTCTGAGTTCACAAGGACTACAGTTATCGCTTATTTAATATTAATATTTCTTGATCCTTCATATATTTCTAGTAACTTCTTGTTAACCCTATAAGTCTCAGGGACAGCATAGTCAAACTATGAAACGATAACTTTGTAATGTATAAACAAAATTTCATCTCGGAAGATTTTAACAAATTATTCAATTATTGGTTTGTTGCAAAATTTCGAAACAAATGTGCTACGGTCCTTAGGAAGGTCAGATCAACAATCAAAATTAATAAAGATAAGATAAAATATTANGGACTATCATTGTATGTAGCAGCTACCTTAAGTAAAAAATAGATTATCTTTACATGTAGTATACTTCTTAATATAAATATTATTCAATTTATTTCTCTTCTTTCGAATAAACATAAAGAAATAGTATTTTTCACAAAATTTACGATATTTTCTATGAATATTACATTTTTACAAAAATACAATGTTAGATCAGTTTGATGTGGTAAACTAAAATATTTTTCAAAATTTCTGGAGTCTTGCAAAGTTATGAAGTAAATATCCAAAAAGAGTCAATTTTTTTTTGCCACAGCAAACTTTTTTCATAACTTTTGTAGTGATAATAACTATGATTTTTTATTTTATTTTTACTGATACTATAAAACGGGAAAGAACGAGAAATTGTCAGACCACCCCTGTTATAAACAGAGGTAGTGTTGGATTCTCCCGGGTGTCCACCTCATTAAAGCTAACCTCTTCGGGGTCAGTCTGGTAGGACTCCTTTCCATGGAGGACAAAGAAAACTTAGAATAAGAAGAACATGAAAAAAAACAACATAATTTCGGAGGCCAACTCGCTCCCTAATGGAAGAAGAGGCACTTACAAGTCCAAAACTCAAAATTTGGCTGGTGTCGGAAATAAAGTCATAGAAACAAAAATATATGTATATATATATATATTTTTTTTTGTTTGTTTGATGGAGCAACGAGGGGAAAATCTTCAAAGACACCCCAGCTAATCCGGTGGTAGTGTCGGATTCACCCGGTGTGCCTACCGACTAAAAACTAACCTCCCCGCATGGGACAGGTCCGTGAGGACCACTCCCCAAGAAGACAAAATAACGGAGAATTTCGGAGGCCGACTCGCTCTCGAAGAGATGAGAGGAGGGGGCACTTACGAATCTGGGCGAAGCTCGAATCTTGGCTTGCGCCGGAATAGAGTTAGAGAAGCTTAGATTTGTGTTATTGTATGTATGTGTAGATGTGTGAGTCCGCTGGGAATTGTGTATTTGGTAGCGTACTTGTGATTAGTGTAAGTGTTGTATAGGGTTGAGGCCGTAGAGGATACGGCGGATAGAAGGGTGCTCCTGAAGGGAGCGCACGAATTGAAGTCGCGATCGTTTCGTCGAGATCATGGAGATTGAGATGATGCATCCGATGGAAGCAGGGGGGATTGAAGACCTAGAGTGTATTGAGGGTCCTCGGGGTTCTGTGCTAGAGCGCAGGGACGTCTTGTAAGGTCGAAGCGACCGGGTTGAAGATTCACGAGTGCGGCGTTGCTGAGGTTTGGGTGGTCCGTAATGGAGGCGCGGACTTCAGACGCAAGGACGGGGGCCGCTTGTATTGGAGGGACGATGTTAAACTCCTTGATAATCTGGGTATTCCTGATGTACCACAGAATACCCAGGACCGACCTCAGAATTTTCATGAAAGAGCCCTGGATGCCCTGTAGTCGGTTTCCCTTTGCAGCGCCCCACGTTTGTATCGCGTAGGTGCTGATGCACTTGATTATGGCATTAAAGGTGCGCAGCTTGGTCTTCTGTGAGACTGTTTTGTTGTAGAAGGGCTTTAGCTGCACGAAGGCTCCGTATGCCTTGCCGCGTGTGTTGTTGATGTGCCGAACGTACGTGAGTCGGCGGACTAGCATTACGCCGAACTACTTGGTGGAGTAACTCCAGTCGATTTCTACTCCGTTGACCTTTATCTTCTGCAGTTCCTTCCTTGGATTTTTCCAGGAGACGAGCATGGCTAGTCTTTGCCTCGTTTACGACCACTTTCTAAAGACTAAACCAGTTATAGAGAATGACTTAAATTTAATAATTCAAATACGTTTGAAGAGTTTTGTAGTCCTAAAAAGGACTGTTTGTTTATAATAGAAAGTAAAAATCTACGAGCTTTTTTCGGTCTTTTTGGGCAAAAGAACCGCCTGGATATTAGGCAGGACACCACCCTGGGCAATTGTTACACCAGAAAGCAGCTTGTTCAACTCTTCGTCATTTCGGATGGCCAGTTGTAGATGCCGGGGAATAATTCTGGTCTTTTTGTTGTCACGAGCAGCATTACCGGCCAACTCCAGGACCTCAGCAGCTAAGTACTCCATAACGGCGGCAAGGTAGACCGGAGCACCAGCACCGACACGTTCAGCGTAGTTACCTTTACGCAAAAGACGGTGAATACGTCCTACTGGAAACTGAAGTCCGGCACGGGTCGAACGAGTCTTGGACTTTCCCTTAACTTTGCCACCACCTTTGCCACGTCCAGACATGATTTTAGTGGAGGTTGATAATTTGAAAACGTTAGAAAGCTATGTTACAGAGTAACTAGATAGCCTTCGAGCAGCCAAGTGTACCTTTATATAGGCCTTCGAGTTGCTCTCCCGAAATATACCCCTACTTTTCGAGAACGGGAGAAACAGCTGCCCGAAACCAATAAGCGCTCGATCTACTTGTATCGCTCGAGAGACTCAGAGACGATTGGCTCACCGTTGCCACCCTAGCGCTCTGAAAAAGTGGGGATGAATTCCGGAGTGAACGTTCTGGCGCTCATAAAAGGGGAGTCAAAACTGCGCTTGAACATACTGTCTTTGACTTTCACCTGTGGAATCTGATACAACTTGTGCATCATCATGCCACCAAAAGCATCAGGCAAAGCTGTCAAGAAGGCTGGCAAAGCAGTGAAGAACATTACTAAGGGTGACAAGAAGAAGAAGCACAAGAAAAGGAAGGAAAGCTACGCCATTTACATCTACAAGGTTCTGAAGCAAGTCCATCCCGACACTGGCGTCTCTTCCAAGGCGATGAGCATCATGAACAGCTTCGTCAACGACATCTTCGAACGCATTGCCTCCGAAGCTTCCCGTTTGGCTCATTACAACAAGCGATCTACAATCACATCTCGGGAAATTCAAACTGCAGTCAGGCTATTACTCCCTGGTGAGCTGGCCAAACACGCCGTCTCTGAGGGAACCAAGGCTGTTACCAAATACACAAGCTCCAAGTAAATTAAAAATTCGCCAAAACAACTGGCCCTTATCAGGGCCCCAAAATATTATAACGTNGGGAAATTCAAACTGCAGTCAGGCTATTACTCCCTGGTGAGCTGGCCAAACACGCCGTCTCTGAGGGAACCAAGGCTGTTACCAAATACACAAGCTCCAAGTAAATTAAAAATTCGCCAAAACAACTGGCCCTTATCAGGGCCCCAAAATATTATAACGTAAACAGCTATTACCGTTAGTAATTTTAGGCATCATGTCACAGTTGAATCATTTACGGCTAAACAAAACGTTTAATCTTAGCAATATCGTTACTGATTTTCTTCGTTACGCCCTATGGAGCAAGTGCCTTTACTCTTCTTTTTATAGAGAGCAAGCTAGGCTCTATTCTTCGCATAATTTCAAATTTTTCCTTCTATCCCTTTCATTTTTTTACCAGGCTTCTAGAAAACAGCTTCATAGATCCAAAGAGGTTTGTTATTACATGTGTATATCGCATTGACACCCAAATTTTACGACACACAAAATTAACTGAAGCAAATCAAAGTTTTTAACTTTTTTTTTGTCAGACGAACATAAGCTTAGGTATCATGTTTCAACTGCGTGTTAAGGTAGTTGTTTCCCAATATATAGGCCAATCGTATATCCAGATATTAACTTTTTTACTTTTAAAAATCTCTTTATTTATTACTTTTGATTACAGAGTATATACATAATTTCACTTGGTGATTAGTATGCTGTATTGTAATTTTTGTGTTAGTTTTAGGTTCAGCTGTTGGCGCTTTTACTCTAAGTTAATATTTTGTTTTTNTTAGGGATCGGATGATGCCTCTGATTTCGAAGGGTGTGCAGTGTTCGAAATCTGGATTTTCTAGGACCTGTTGCTGCACCGTGTGGGTGATTCTCGTGTGTTCCTGCGCTAGTTCTTCAGCGCTAAGGTTGGGGGAGCATTGATTTTGCAGCGAATCTGCAAAGATCTCTGCTTTGTCCGAGTCTAGCGAGTAGAATTTGTTCCCTTGTTGAAGGGGGGGGAGGGAAGGCCGTTTGTTACGGAGTTTTTTTAACGACCTTCCAAGCATTACTTGGGTGGGATTCTGCCTCGGCTATGAATTTGTTAAATTCCTTGTTTCCGAATTCGAAGACTTGGGATTTGACTTCCCTTTCAAGTGAGTTAAGGTGAACTTTAAGTTCGGGGGTTCTCCTTTTTTGCCAGAGTTTCTGGGCTCTTTTCTTCTCCTTGATGAGGCGCAGGAGGTCGCGGGGGAGTTTAAGTGTATGTTGGGGAGCTGTGGTTGTTGTGGTGGCTTCGTGTGTGCATCTGTTGAGTTCGTCAGTAAGTTCGTCTACTGCTATGTCGAGTTCCGTTTGGGACCTAATGGGGCTACATTTGAATGGAGAGAATTCGAGGTTATACGCAAGGTGGACCCAGTCTATACGGCTGGTGGTGACGGGTATGGTGAGAAGGGATTTAGGGATATCTAGGTAGACTGGGTTATGGTTACAGGGGAGGTCAGGAGAGGTTCTTGGTTCCGTAGGGATGGTCAAGTTTTTCGTTAGGAATATGTCTAGAATGTCGGGGTCCTGGTCTGGGGAGCTTGGATAGTGAGTTGGTTCGCTCGGAACCTCAATATTGATGTTGAGGTTTCGCAAGTGTTTGAGGAGGGAACGACCCTTAGGATTTTCGTGTTTGCATCCCCACGATTTGTGCTTAGCATTTAAGTCACCAGTAACTATCGTAGGGATGTTGGAGTCGAACAACGGGATTATGCATTGGAGGTTTGGATCATCCGTTAGAGGAGAATAGAGGGAGATGATTCTGATGGAGGCAGATGAGGTGGTGTGTACTTCGATGCCGACTGCTTCGCATTTGGCAGCGTCCGTACTTATGACTCGATGGCGGATGCCCTTGCGTACAAGTATAGCCACTCCGCCATGGGATTTTTCCGCCTCTTTCGGATTTGGAGGGGTGGTACTTAATTAATATTAATAAGAAAATTCTCACGTAACACCATTTTAAACTAATTATACAAACTATTATTGATAGTTTTAATGAATAATTTTTGTATTTTCCAAACATGATTCTGGTGCTAAGCTACGGCGGGGGGGGTGTCACATTTGGCAAGTCCTAGAGCATAACAAAATGTTTTAAATAATTCAAATACGTTTGAAGAGTTTTGTAGTCCTAAAAAGGACTGTTTGTTTATAATAGAAAGTAAAAATCTACGAGCTTTTTTCGGTCTTTTTGGGCAAAAGAACCGCCTGGATATTAGGCAGGACACCACCCTGGGCAATTGTTACATCAGAAANATGTTTCTTTATGCAAAACAATAGGTTGGACGTACTTCTCATTAGAAAACAAATATAACTTATAATTTCACGTTTGTCAGGAGGACAGTGAATTTCTCAACTATTCATAAGAATCATAAGAATATTTAAACTTGTTATTCTACATTTCTTGTATAAAAAATATATGTTGTTTTAAAAAATTGCGATTGATATTATACTACCATAAATTAAAAAGATAGGATGTTTTTTTTTCATTCGAAATTTAGCTGGTGACATATGGCATTTTACTTGAAACTAGAAGTGTTGATATTTAAGAAATGGATTAGGAAAATCTGATTTGAAACAATTATCAGTAAATGTGCGAATATTATAGAAAAAATGTCATTTTTAATGTTGATATATAAGTTTCAGAGTAAAAGACGGATTGCTTGATAAGTAAATTAAGATTGTTTATCACCATCAAGCATTTAGAGCAGGTAATTATATGGACTTTGAGATTGCTATACACACGCTTTACGCATTTATCATGAGAATTTTTATGTATAGGATTATTAGGATTTTTTTTAGTGAGACTATCATGAGAACTACGACATTCATCTCTTTCATTGCAGTACACTCCAACCCTTTTATTTTGACCTTAGCTACATAAAATATCTTTAATCTCGGTTACATTACACAAAGCTTATTTACACCTATCAACACACAACTACTCAAAATCTCGGAAATAAGCAACACTGAATCCTACACATGTATACATTCATTCACTCTATTCACCGTGTACTCAGTGAGTACTACTCACTTTCATCTAACATCTACACGACCATACAAAATTTTTACCCCTTACTTCACCAGCAACCGCCATTTCAATCGTTTCGCCCTGTAGCGCGAGCGCTCCTGTCATCCCTTAAGAGTGAACTGGTTATTGATCTTCGACGCATATGTTGTTTTTCATTCTCCCTTTTTTTACTTTTTTTATTAGGCGTCTAGAAGACAGAACCTTATAGGTTAGTCTATTAACAAGGAGGTTTAATTTTATATGGTAGGTGCCAGGATTGTATGGTGATTCGAACTCTGTTCTGGGTTCTACGAATTTTTTTTTTTGTTTAGATTATCCTTCTCATCCCACGAAAAAAGTCCAATGATCTTTGATATTATTCACTTAAAATCCTGCTGATATTTCTTTTGATTAATTATACCCTAGCCTGTTTCTCAGCTTATTTGTTACCATATTTGTTATCAAATACCTTATAGAATAGTATATTTACGTTTGTAATATTTATTGGTCCTAACAAGGACCTTTTTTTATATGCTAAGATGGTTTGTTTACTTTTTCGCAGCTGCTTTGGTTTTTGATGCTGCTGCTTTCTTAGGTTTGGGAGACTTGGGTTTAGCGGCTGAAGCTTTTCCAGTCTTTTTAGCTTTTGATGGAGATTTAGGCTTAGCGATTTTTTCAGCTTTAGGCTTTTTTGCTACAGGTTTTTTAGCAGCTGCTGGTTTTTTGGCTGCGGCTTTTTTAACACCTACTGGTTTTTTAACTACCTTCTTTTCACCCGCAGGCTTCTTCGCTGCTGGTTTCTTGGCTGCAGGCTTCTTTACCACTACTTTTTTCTCGCCTTCGTTCTTGGCTGCAAGCTTAAAACGTCCAGCTGCACCAGTTCCCTTGGTCTGGACGAGAGCCTTCTTCTCAACAGCGGATTTCAAATACTTTCTGATGAAGATGGACTGCTTCGCAACATCGATCTTGTAGTTGGCAGCAATGTACTTCTTGATAGCTGGGAGCGAAGAGCCTTTTTTATCTTTTAAGGCAGCAATAGCCTTGTTGACCATCTCCGAGGCAGGAGGATGAGTCGGTTTGGCAGCTGGTTTTTTGGCTCCAGTCTTCTTGGCTGCAGCCTTCTTTGACGAAGCAACTGCAGTGGCAGGAGCAGAAGTAGTCTCTACGGCGTCACTCATGGTAGATACAGTAGAGTCGTTGAAAGCTGATACAGGATGCAGCGGAAGATTACTAAGTAGCAGCTCGTGAGTTCTTTATAGTCTTTAGGCGCGGACCGTGTAGAGACACACTAAGAGATGTAGTGGTTGTGCTCCCTCACTTCAGTGCACGCGTGTTACTATTACATTTAAAAAAAATTTAATTTGTTAATCTTAGGCCCCGTTGTGATACGTTCATTGAACTTTCTTTGACTAATAAAAAGTTCCGCTTTACACTAAATTTGTACATTATAAGCTGTTGTGATAACATTACTCAACAAACTTAGTGTTTTGATGAACTGGATATTGAACTAGCTATGATTAACGCATTTAAATGATTATTATCAATAAATTAATGATTTTACACACCATATAACAGAATTTTAATAATGTTCAAAATGTTAAAATATTTATTTGAAGTTATTATTTATTGTTATTAACTCAATAAGAGTTAAAATCAACAATTCCAAAATTTATCTTGCGAAGTTTTTATTCAGATACGTAACATCAATAATATTATTCTTACCTTTATGCATTGGAAACGAATTATCAACTATATTTCACTATTTATGTGCATGTATATTGTGAAATTCAGCATACATAACATAAGCTACATGAAAACTGCCATTTTAGCTATTTTAATTTCGAAATTAATAATTTGTCATGTAAACACGCCAGGGGAAAACTTTTTTGGTTTTAGAGATCCCGGGAATGATAAAAATTCTTAAGACGATTCAATTTAGTCTTGG